CTTGCACGCACCCCTCCAATGGTTTTATAAAGTGTTTAAAAGAGAGCTTATTTCATTTGATATAAGGTGAGAAACGGGTATACTTGTGCGACCGAGCATTCGCAAATCATACACGGATTGGGGCAAGATGGGACAGCTTGGCACAAACAAGTATATTGAAGCCCTCAAATCACGTCAGTACGAAAACCTTACAACAGCCGAATTTCATTTTTTCAAGAAACTGCTTCTGGAGGTTGCCTGGCCTGTGGGAGCGGGATAGTCGTTCACATGTACAGTTTGCTCATTAATTTACTTGATTTATTTTGGGCTGAAGCTCCGAAAGCCTTCGCTGAAGTAAGAATATAATCACTGACACATGCGACGTCGGCAGGTACGGCTCACGGTACTCAGATGTTACGAAATACTAAAACTACCTGCACAGATAACTGGCACAAGAAGAGTTAGCAGCCATCAACGACATTGTTGACGGCGAAGGCCAGATGGCATCGTTTAAACAGGTAACAGATACATTCTACAACTGAATGTACTGTTTTACACACGCAAGTGGAGCTTGATATGAGGTAAAAACAATACAGTCAAAGACTTACGTAGCGTTATACCAAGAGATAGGACCAGTACAATTGGAAGCTGATAGGATCGGGCCCACCATTTCAACATGAGGAACTAAACAGATCGAGGCATCTTTCAGTTTATGCCGAGATGGTCCACCGTCTGATTCTCATCATATCTTGGCTTAACAAACAAGCACAAAAAGTGTCGCTACAAGCAGAAGGTCGCTATAATTGGTATACGAGATTTACCAACGTGTAGTAGATGCATGGCACAGGTCAGCAGCCTAAAAGGAGCACAACCTATGGGATTATGAATAAGTACACATTTGGGGGTAAATATTGCAAGATATGTAACTGGTCTTGACGTTCTGCCCACCACGGAAGAACATCACAGATGCCCACATCCTCCGCTTCGTAATGTGTGGTGAATGTGAAAACCAATACGCAGTTCGTGTCTATTTGGCATTGGCAAAGTTCATCACTCATAAAGAAAAAGAGGTAACGTTGAAAAAAACCCGTGTTATGATAGAGCCAACAGGCATCTTTCGGACATTCTGTGACCATAACATATCCCCATGTTACTGGGCGGCAGTTCTGCAGTACACCGGCTGCAAATATCATCTTAACAAGCGACAGCATCGGCCGTAATTCCCAGATCAAAACTTTCTCGTGCATGTCCATCGCCAACTTCCGGCCATGTCGGCTCAGCTCGGCACAAAGCACTGCAGTCTTCTCAGGGGAAGCCTTGGAGGTCTAAGTCTATGTTGAAAATTGACCCGCCGACTGTCCAACCGCGCCCAGTCCCACGCTGATGGGACGCCGCCGACTGTCCGACTGACCCCAGTCCCACGCTGATGGGACGCAGCCGACTGTCCGGCTGACCCCAGTCCCACACTGATGAAACGCCGTCGACTGTTCGGCGGATTCCTGTCCCACACTGATCAAATGCCGCATGCCCTCCGACCGGCCCCAGTCACAACTGATGGGACGCAGCCGACTGTCCGGCCGGCCCCAGTCCCACACTGATGGGACGCAGTCGACAGTCCGGCCGGCCCCAGTCCCACACTGATGGGACGCCGCCGACTGTCCGACTGACCCCAGTCCTACGCTGATGGGACGCAGCCGACTGTCCGGCCGTCCCCAGTCCCACACTGATGGGACGCGGTCGACAGTCCGGCCGGCCCCAGTCCCACACTGATGAAACGCCGCCGACTGTCCGACTGACCCCAGTCCCACGCTGATGGGACGCAGCCGACTGTCCGGCCGGCCCCAGTCCCACACTGATGGGACGTAGTCGACAGTCCGGCCGACCCCAGTCCCACACTGATGGGACGCCGCCGACTGTCCGGCCAGCCCCAGTCCCACACTGATGAAACGCCGCCGACTGTTCGGCGGATTCCAGTCCCACGCTGATGGGACGCCGCCGGCGGCGACGGAAGCCGGCTGCCCGGGCCGCCGAGCGACGCGGACAGACGGGACGCCAGCAGAGGGGAGAGAGGAGCTGGAGCGCGACCACCCTCATCGGTCTCACCACCGGATATACCAGGCCGCGACCGCAGCACAGGCAGCGGGCGCTGCTGTCACGCTAACCGCCCTTCCCTGCATCTAAAGACAGCCAGGGGAGCTGACGAGGGGCGGGCACAGGTGTCTCGGGGCGACGGAGGCGGCCGCGTCGCGATGGCGCACCGGACGGCGCTCGTGACCGGCCCGTGTTACGGCCAGGAGGCAGACGCCCTGCAGACGGGCAGATACGGCCATCAACGGCCCAGCGGTACAACGACCCGAGCCTCCGTAGCGGCCCCGAGTGCCAACGTCGCGTAGCTGTACAGAAACATAGCGAGCAGGCATATCCGACCGGTGCAAAGACATGACAGTCTGATGCGTCGCAGCGGTGCTGAGAATTAATGCCCGGCCGCGGCGTGGAGGCGCACACGCCACCGTCTGACGTCTGACGTCTGACGTCTGACGCGCCGCCGGCAGCGCCGGCAGCGTCGGCAGCGCGGCCGGCCTGAGGGCCCGGCAGCGCTGCAGGGACCCGCTGCCTCGACTGCTGCGCCGCTCAGCGGTCTGCTACGCTCACGCGGCCGGCGTGCGGGCTGTGATGAACGGAAGCGACATCCGGACTCGACTCCACGAGGCCGTTCACTCCGCGGCCACCGAGGCCGGCTGGTGGGCGAGGGCGGTCGGGCCGCGCGCCGCCCGACGTGACGGGCGCGCCGGCCCCGGCCGGCCGACTGCCATTGTCCGGCCGGGCGCCCTTGTTCTCGATCGGCGCGAACGCGACACACGACGGTGTCGCGTCGACTCTGGCACAGCCCCGATAGCACGTCAGCGAGGTGCCACGTGGCTGGGTTGGCAGGCGATTCCGGCGAGAGCTGGCGATGACGGAACGGCTAAGGGGGACGCGAAGGTCGGGCCAATCGAAGCCATGGTAACGAGCCGCACGAATAAAACGGGCGAGCTGTTTGGTGGAGTCCGCTGACGTTGATTGGTATCCCAGTGGTCGGATGTAGACAACCCATGGATACAAACGGAAACCGACACAAATCGGTTTCATAAGCCTGTATGCTGCCATACAAGGCAAGACAATAGACATCGTCCCAAGCATACTTCAGTTCTGGGAATGCGAAGCACATGTGCAATGCCCATTCTTTCCTTCCTGTAAGCAGGGTGTGCTTATGTCCAATCACACCCGGCCTTGTGGTGCGAGGCAAGCCATTTGCTCGATAAGCCTGTCCCGACCTTCACAACCATTCTGTCAGGTCCTGGCGCCCCCTGACACCTGAACAACCTGATGTTAGCAGAACTGGCATGACAATTCGATCGTAGTGTCTTTGAGAGGCAACTGGTAAGTCAGCCATGAAATTCAAATTTGAAACGCTATGATGAAACAAGTAGCATGATAACACTTCAGTAACCAGGACGGCGTTTAACACTTATTGGCGATATGGGTCGTTTAAAATTGGGCAACAATAGTCCTCGGCAAAAAAAGAAACACGTAAACTGTCCTTGATTATTATGATTTCTGTACAAAATTGAATGTGAAAGTCTTAAAGAGACATTTAAGAGCGCCGTAATGCACAATTCATTTGTGCTCCATGCTGTCATATTTTGATGCGAAGCATAAAGTTTTAAATGAAGGTTCTTTACACGCTATCACAAAATCGCGGCCCATCCAAAACCGAGCGTGTATATGAAAATGTTATACGTAACGGAAGATAATATTGAGTATCAGAAATGGTTTGCGGGAAGGGAAGGCATTTGGCAAAAAAAAAAAACAACAAGAAAACGCGCAAATGCAGAAATACATGTTCCTCCAATGGTAATTTTCAAAACATGACCTACAAAACAGCACAGCCTGTAATGGCATTGTTACCAGCGTCAACGTTCATTGTTCCCAGCGTCAGCGTGCTTGTGCAAGTCGTAAGGGTCTGTCGTCTCTGCTGGCGCTGCTTCTTCGTCGCACTGTAATATTCATAATTCAAGAAGTGCCCATAAAAGAGAAGGCAAACACATTCACAACTCCTCTGCAGTATGTGGTCTGGAAGCTTGTAAACCTGTTAGGGGTCATGTGACACGACGCTTCACTCTAAAAATATTGTTTTGCAGGGCGTTGCGAAAGCGGCTTTCATATACCGCAGATTCCAGCATGACTGGTTTCCAGCCTCTTTTCCTAACCATCTTTGCTCAAACAAATGAACACAAGGGCGCACCCCAGCTTTCGAGAACAAATAAAGGCAATGCATTGGATGCCTGCAGATATGGACCACGGGAGGCAAAACATGCGACAGCCACATTTAAGCAATCTGTTCTTTCAAAGGCGGTGGAAGAACATGGAGAGGGTGAGGTGGGGGGAGAGGGCGAGGGCCAGTCCACCCGCTTCTGGAAAAGCAAATGCTGACCCCAAAAAACGACGCACGGAAAGCCACGTGGAATGGTCCCATTTATCTCCTATCTCCCCCATTATAGAATTTGTTGTCCCAATGTTTTCCGGTAGCATTCTGGGAAATGGTAGTCACTAGATGAGCCGCAGGCGAATGCCTACTGATATCGTCATGCTAATGGTTCTCGGACTCTAAAGAAAATGACAGGCGCGATGACTCATCAACAATGAACGCGAAGTTTTCCGTTGTTTTCGGTACAATATGAGACAAAGGTGGTCTGAAGTGTTGCGAAGAGAAAGCGCCAATTGACCGGTAGGGTCGCCAGCCAGGAACACATCGCGCTCACACACACACACACACACACACACACACACACACACACACACACACACACACACACACACACACACACACCGGCATCATGCCATGCTGGCCGAGCGCCAGGGGCGCTGACTCATTGTTGACCGAAGATCCCAACCGCGAGCCTCGCCACCCACTCCAGATTGATAGCGCCAGGCGAGCAACGGCGCCGCCCGATCGCCTGCGGACAGGACCGCCGGCCTACCTGTGGAGCTGCATCCGATCAAACTCGATCTCGAGCGAGTGGTCCGAGTAGTGGTCTGAGTCGGTGGCGTACTCGCCGACGGCGATCAGGCTGTCCGTGTCGCCGTCCGCCCCCAGCAGGCCGGCCTCCGGCGGCTCGCTCGACTCCGAGCGGCGCTCCTGGGAACGGGCACGGCCGGCGCCGGCGGCCGCGGCCGGCCTCCTCCGGTCGACCGGCGGCGGCGGCCACTCGGCGCCCCTCTCCCCCGCCCGCTCCGAGCCGTTCGCCGCCGGCGTGGGCCGGATGGCGGCCACGGAGCGGGGCGGCCGGACGCCGCGCGCAGGGGCCGCGACGGGCTGCGGCTCGGCGTCGGCGGTGTCCGATGCCGGTGACTGTCTCGCTCGGATCTCAGACCGCCTGGGTCTGGTTGGCGACGCGTCCGGCGCGGTCAGCTCCACCTCACGCCGCGAGCTCGGCGCGCCGGCGGCCGGCTGCGACGCTCTGCCGACCGGCGAAGCGGCCGTCTCGGGACTCAGCTGGCGTCGCGGCGTCGTGCTGCCGCTCTTGGCTGCGCTGCTGGAGCCGCGCGAGCGCGCCGGGCTGCCGGCCGACTCGCACTCGGGGCTGCTGGACCTGCGTTTGGTGAAGAGCCGGGCGGGCGGGCGGGCGCGATCCGTCAGCTCGCCACGCCGGCCCACCGGCGTGTCCCGCTGCCCCGCACCGCCGTCGCGGGACGGGCTGTTGGAGCGGCCGCTGCTGAAGCCCGTGTCCTTGCCCGAGTTGTCCGACTCGTCGCTGTCGCGTCGCGTCTTGAACACGCTCCGGAAGCGGCGGCCGTGGCCGTCGGCGCGCAGCGAATCGGCCGCGTTGTGTTCGCGGCCGCCCTCCGCTGGCTTCTCCCGGTTGGAGCTCGGAGTGGAGGCGAACAGACGTCTGTAGGAGCCCTGCAGGGCGCCCGCTGGGGCCTGGTCGGATGCGGCGGAGCTCGGTGGGTCTGGAGAGTCGGTGGCAGGGGCGGCGCTGGCTGGCCGCCCAGTGCGTCGTCGCGAGGCACGTGCCAGGATCTCCGACAGGTCCACCCGGTCGGCGCGTGGCGTAGAGCTTTCACGTTCAGTTGATCCCTCCTCCGACCAGGTGGCGCGGGCTTTGCTGGAGAAGCGAGAAGTACGGAAATTCGACTCGCTTGTGGCCGACTCGTCTCCTGCGTCTGCCTTTTCTTTTTTGCCACTTGGGAAGGGGCTGAAGTCCTTAGAAGACGTAAACGACGTCAGATCAGGACTAGATGACATGAAGTCTGATGCGTCCTTGTCGCGAGACGAAATCCTCGCCCTGCTGAACAGCGATGGCACATTCTTGGTCGAGTTCTTGCTGCTTTTCGAGGCGTCTCTTTCCTCCCTGCCAGTCATTAACACATCCTCCTCGGAGTGCAGCGACCAGCGGTTGCTGACGTTAGTCGACTCCACCTTTCTGCGCCGCGTGAACGTGCCAGCCTCGAAGCTGGTTCGTGCGTCTGTCTTGCGTCGCATGGTGACGCGGTAGCTGGAGGCGTCGTCGTCACCGTCGTTGGAGGGCCACGCCATGGCCGGCGCTTCGCCGCCTCCTGGCGACTCTCTGCGGCGACGGCCGGCCGGCGCGCTCTCCACATCCTTCTCGAACGTGTCGGAACGCAGGAAGTCGCGCGGCACGGTGACATCGAGGCCGTGCCCACGCGCGGCGCCGACCTTGTCTCGGCCTCCGCGCACCTGCTCCTCGTCCTCATCCTTGTCCAGGTCAAACGTGTTGGAGCGCCGGTACTCGGTCGGCGGCGACTGCCTGGCCGGCTCGGCCCGAACCGTCGCCTCGCCGCGTTTCCCGCGCGAGACGCCGGCTGCCGGCTCGCGACTGGACCGCTTCGACAGCCGGTCGACCAGCCGGTCGATGTCGGTAGTCTTCATGCGGGGCTTCCGCCGCTCGGCGCCGGCCTCGTGAATGGACGTGGACGAGCGAGATGTTTGCAGGTCGCGGCCGGTGCCGCGCGCTTCACGCCGGCCAGCCAGGTTCGCTGTTGTCACCGACTTGGCGAGTCGCGTCGTACGCGGCCGCGTGCCGCCCTCGAGCGAGTCGCGCTCCCAGCCGGCCGAGCTGTCCGAGTCGTCACTCCTGTAGGCGTTGAGCTGCTGCTGCGAGCGCGAGTGGCGCTCAGCGCCGGCGCCAAACACGCGCTGCACGGAGCGCGCCGAGCTCAGCGGCTCGACGCGCGCCCGCTCCTTGACGCGGAACGTGCGCTGCGCGTCGCGCTTCATGGCCACCTGGCCGCGCTCACCGACACCGCCGCGCGCCCGGGACGCCATGCCGTCGCCGCACACGTGCGCACCGACCGCGGCCGACTGAGCCACCCGACGACCGGCCTGCCCCCGGCCGGCCAGGTGCCGCCGCCAACCGGTTGGCAGCCGCTGCCGCCGCCGCCGCCGTCGTCACTCGGTCGAGCGGTGCGGCCGGCCGGTGGCGCGCGCGGAGACTGGTCGCCGCGCGGCGCCCCGCCCGCGGCCGCCGCGTCACGGCCGCCGCCGCCGATTGGCGCGCCGTGCCGGCCGTGACGTCGGCGGCGGCGGCGCCGCGTCACGGCCGCCCAGCACGGCCGCCGGCATATGCATGAGCCGCCGATGGGTTTGGCGCCGCACATCGCAGCGCATTACAAATGAGGCGCGAGTCCACCGGCCGGCCGCCGGGCGCGTTTCGAAACGGCGCGAGGGCGCGGCGTCGGCTATCGGCTCAGGATCGGCCCCACGCTGGCCGTCCGCCACCAAATATGGCCACGGTCCCGCCAGGACTGATGACGTCACAGTTTGTGTTGCGGACGAGAGGCCGGGGCCGAGGCCGGACCGGGGTGGGGCACCTGGGCACGAGGTGACGACGACAGGCCGACTCCAGACCCACATCGAGCCTCTCCGCCTCTGAAACCGACGCCCGCCCGTGGAATCCCGCTGGCGCGTCACGAGCGGCAGCCTTACCGCCGCGTGACCGCCGGAGCGTCCCCATTGACCGTGCCTGCCCTGCGAGGCACGGCTCACGGCCGGCCCGTCAGCTGATCGCCGGATACGACTGCGGTCGGTCGGCTGGGCGGCCCGCCAAGGTCGCCGTCCAACAATGGCCGCTGCAGTGAGAGTCCGTCGACGTCCAGCGATCGCGGCAACGCGATGTGGTCGGCCTGGTATTCCAGCCAGCTCGGGAGAACAGATCGCAAGCCCACGCTCCAAGCTCAGCTTATATATCATACCGTCTAAACAATCGATTTTCCGTCACGGCGTTGGAGCTGCCGGCGCTCAACCAGACGGTCCGGCTGGTATGTTGGGGGGGGGGGGGGGGAGGGGACTTATCGAAGCCCTGCGCGCCTGTCTGAACAGCCCAGGCGCTCCCTTCTTGTGGAGCCGGCCGGGGCAGACGGCACCTGTCCGCCCGCGCATTTCATCGCATGTGCACAGCATGATGCTCGCCGCGCCAGGCGGCAGTGCCGACGCACCCGTGACTCACTTGGCGATCTTCGGAAGCAAGAGCGACACACCTGTGACGTCACAGCTGTGTGTCCTCCGCTGGCGGCCGCGGTGGCGCGGCGGCCGGCCGACAGGCAACGCCCGGCTGGCCGCCCAGGCACGAACTGTAGAGGTCACTGGGGCTGACCCGTCCCCAGAGCGATGAGACCTCGCTGGAACTGGACGCGTGCAGGGAGCGTTTGGTGGGCGAGGAGATCGAGCACGCCGAATGGGCAATCTGTGCACGCCGAGAGCGAGGACGAGCTCCTACGGAGAGCAAATGGCGTCCACCGGAAATGAGAGCGCCAAAGGAGCGAACAGAAGGGTGCACTTTGACGGTGTAAATAATAGGTATTAAAAATATGTCATAGAAGCACGTCAAGTTGGCGCGTCGAAGGAACCAAAGCTACTCACTGGAACTGAGGACCGCCAGCGAACAAATGGAGCTGAATAACATTGAAAGCGAGCTGTACTATTGCTCAAGGAGCGCATTATGCCCAGAGAAGCGTATGGAAAGTGGCCGTCGGCCAGTGAGCGCCGCGAGTGATCATACGGAGAGAGAGAGCGGGCTAATCGCAGCCTCCTCGCCCGCGGGAATGAAAGGGTAGCACGCCCGGGGGCAGGGCTGGACCCGAACTAACCGCCAGCTGACCAGGCTGGCTGGCCAAAGGCGCTATAACGACAGCTGACCGAGACAGGTGACATCATCCAGGCACGAGGCGGAACGTCAGACGACAGCCAATCAGACGGCGTCGGACCAACAGCTGACGGTGTGGCGTCACACCTGAGCTGACAGGTGACGTCACACCTGAGCTGGCGGGTCACGTGGGAGCCGAGTGAGCTGGTTCCATGGCTGGCCATCCACACCACGGAAACAGTTCGTGGTGACGAGCTCTTTGGTCAGCTGGCGCCATGAGCTGCCAGCCAGTCCAGCCATGGAAAACGGAGGAAATCGGGCACTCGATAAGCAGGTGAATCCGAGCATGCAGGTAGCATCATGCTACGAGCTCTTTTAATTCCAGCCTCATGTCATTTCATGCATGTCACCACTCAGTGGCGCGTTCGAGCTAAGGTGTCGGGGGCACGACAACTTTTAACTCTTACCACCTGTCGGTCACTCTTGTAAATTTTTTACACGCAGTAATATTTCTGCTAATATATTCTGCTATGCAAAATCAAGACAGACATGTGGGAATGCGTAGATTAAATGTGCAATGCTGCTTATTTCTTTCAGGCTAGAAATTGGCGTAGCTACGGCGTGCTAAGAGTTTTCTAGTGAAAAACTCTGAGCTATTGGCCCCATTTGCGGAAACCTGCTCGCGCCCCTGCCACCCTCGTAATGGACCGATCGACTGAGGCGGCCAGGCGGCATCCTGCGAGTACGAGGAACACCACCTGGAAATTGGGATAGTTTCACGTTGTCAAAGGTTGAACGCCGTTGTCCGAGAATAAACTATTTCCACCAGACTTCAAGTTCCTACAAGCTATCCTTTGTTTCACGCCAGGGACTCTTTTCTTGATAAGTTCTCGTAGCTCACGATGGCAGAAAAACCGGAAGAACTTCTCATCACAATTAGGCCTGCGCTCGATAATTTATCACAGTTTCGTTCCTTCCTTCTGTTCTATGAGGTCTGCAAGATAGCAGACAAGATGGCTGTGGAATGCCGAGGAAAGATGCCGTCGTCTCGCACGTCCCGTGCGTGTCAACGACCCTTGGTGTCGAGCGGTTTTGGTGGACTGGACACTACGAACCTTTTTCGGTTGAAACCCAGTACCTGCTTCCACATTTTATCTGTCTCCAGACTGTTTGTTGTATTTGTGCATGACAGCGTGTTCATGCCCGACCCAACGCCACTTCCCTCTCAGCCTGACGCCATATGGAAACGTAGAACTTCACAGCTTTCTTAAGACACTATCTCAGTTATAATTCGCCGTAATTTTGCTTAACACGCGCCCGGGTGGACAGTTCAATACCCTTCGCTCAATAGGTTAATCTGACCCTGAGATATCAAAAACCAAGATAACTAGAAATACCAAATTTCCAGGGTAGCCTAAATACTGTAGATTTAAAGTTCGTGAACTCTCTTTTGTCAAAATTTGAGGTTCCTAGGCATTGGGGTCGAATAAGATAAAACAAGGTCAGACTCCAGACTGATGTCTCAAGTGCCCCCAGACTTGCTCATGCAACCACTGTGAACCTAGAAAGCTGTTTTTAGGAGAATGCCAATGAGACCAGTGACTTCGTTTGACGTTGCTAAGATCAAGTTGACGAGATACCTACGAGACTGCTCTTATTTTATGACAGAAAAATGCTTCAAACTATGCTATATCGGTGCTGACATCACAGATCAGTGGCGACACAGTGCTTTTCGAATGCAGCTCAGATCAGTGGTTTTTACTGATTTTTCAGCCAAGATTTACCCAATGTATTAAAGAGCACAGCATACCAAATAACTACGCTTGTTACTAATCGCAAGAACCGTAGCTGACCACAACATCTCGCGACGAACGTGATCAATTGCTACGCGGCGTTTTAAAGCGCCGTGTCATTTAGACAGATGGGCTTGATTGCTCGCCACGCGGCGTTTTAAAGCGCCGTGTCATTTAGACAGATGGGCTCGATTGCTCGCCACGCGGTAATGCGTTGGGTTCATGCGTTGGGTTCAGTGCAAGGCCGCGGGCTGCTGCCGGTTGTGTTCATGTCATGAGAAGCAGACTGGCTAATCGTCAGTTTCTTTTAGGTAATACCCTTAAAAAGCCCTGCCAATCTAGGATCGTTGTTTGTGGATACCTGAGCCATAGCTTTAGGGGTAAACGGATGTCGCTGGAGCGACAGATGTCAAGGATTCATCCGGGGCTTGCTGCTACTGAGAGAAACAGCGACTTTGAGCCAAGAGGCCGAGCATCGGCGCTGGTGTAGGCCTCTCACATTGCCCGTTGCACCTCACACTTAGCGCACTGGTCGGTGGACAAGCATGAAATAAAACGCTTTAAGTTGTTATCATATTGCATATAAAGCTAAGTGAAGGCGCTAGAGGTGTTCAAAAATGTATGTGCATTTGCTGACACCAATATTGTATGGGTTTGCTGTAAATGTTTGGGATCATGTTACGAAGCGCGAGTTCTGCACCGGCAATGGTTATGCCAAGATAATTAAGGTCGCCAACGCATTTAGCTGATTGTACGATGACGCCACAAAACAAATGTGATATTGTTTCAAGTGCTTGTAGAACTATGTTATCGGTAAATGTAGGGCCACAGGGATGCAGTTTTGCAAAATGCGTAGTGGTGAGGGATGGAAGGGGAAGGGAGAGGATGCAGGAAGAAAAAATGGTTAAGCTTGCCTCCGAAATGCACTTAAAACGATTTTTTCAGATTTGACGCAATTTTTTTGCAGCTGCCAGCAGGGGTATAGTTCCTCAAAATTAGTTTTCTGGGGCTGAACCCCGAAATTATGATAACTGAGAAATAATGAATACAAATGATAGCTTAGATAGGAAACTGCACCCCTAGTTACGAGGCACAATCCCACCTCTCCCCCACCCTTCCCAATTGAGTAGGAAACCGCGCGTCTTTATGCTGGTTAGGATAAGTATGCCTTTATCTGATACTTCTGACTGATTGGTCTCAACCTTCATTCAGTGTTTGATGGCCAGCAAATGAAACTTAGTGTAAATGAACTCCCGAAATTGAAATGTTTCTTGGTTATACCACATTGCATTTAAGTTGTCTTTGTTTTTGTGGCTTATTGTATTAAGAGATATATTGCATGTATGGTTGTATTGCAACAGTTTTTGAAAGATTGACCTCAGGTGACAGTTCAGATGGTTCCAAATGTCGTCGGTGACAGAAAAGGCACTTTTTCCACCCCCGCCTACAGTTATGCAATGTTTGGCGCGGCCACGCCGCGCCGTTTGGAAATCATTGTGGAAAAACCTTTGAGGGTCAATTTGCTTCCCCACCTCACCCCACCCAAGCGCATGTTGAATGTGTGTATGCTTAAATGCTACTTAGTTTTGACGACCTGCCGCTGGGGGACGACGGGAGCCGCTGGGCAGGTGTTTCCACACCATCTCAGACCTGTACAAACCCGGATTTGAAACGAGTTTTGAGCGCGTGCCTCAAGGCTGGCGACCTCCAGGCACCATTTGCGTTAAATGCGCTGCAGCCGTCGGCAGGCATTACCACGATAGCTGCAAAGCTGATTTCGAGCGATTGCTGGCTTTGCTGAAATGAACTAGATTTGAAGATAGTATTCACCGTGAATGAAGACCTGCAATTTATATTCGATCGGCTTTGCAATGCCAAGTGCCAGATATCACCCTAGCATTGCGTCTTTTGCACAGACACACAATGCACATCGCCATTCGAGTGTTCGCCATCAAGAAAGGATGTTGACCACCGGAGCTGAGCCTTCTCTGTCACACCTGAGCCTTTTCTGCCACACACTGCAGCTGACGCAGACACTGAGTTCGGAGTAGACTCAAGTGCCACAGTGCCGCCATGGCACTGTGGCACTGAGCGACGTGAACGACGTGCCGCTGGTACGGCGCTCATTTGGAAAGCATGCGTACAACTTACTGCATTCGTTCAACATAGACGCGGTGGACACGGTGGGCATTGTGTCGTTTTCCTCTTAGGTGATTTCAAAGATACCCCGAACACATGTCGAGTGTGGGCCCACATTTCAGAAATCCTGGGTGACAGCGACACGCAAACACATGAAGCCATTGAGGATAGACCACATGGTCGATCTCTGTGAGCGTCCGCGTGTGCTTGCGGGCACTCGATCATCTGCACTCTTGCACAAGTCACGGACTTGGGTGGTTTCAAAATGTGATAAAAATTTGTGCACAATTTCGGTGGCAGGAGGCAGTGTCACATACAGCACTGAAAGCAATTGCATTTTGCAGCAGAGCAATTCGAATAGAAACACGTAGAAAATTGTTCCCTTCTCTACCGAAGTAGGAACGCCGTCATCGTTTGCACACAGTTTGAAAATGTTGCTTCGAATTCAGGTTATCGGGACGTAAGCGGAGCGATATTTCGAGACAAAGCACCGTGATAATATCGTTCACCAATGGATCCTAAAATGCATGTCTACACAAATAATTGGGTTACAGGCACATCCACCGGTAATTCTTCGTTTAAACGCAGTACATCTAATCCATTTTTCTGGGGCAGATGTGGATGCTAAGTTCACGCTGAGTTCATGTGTGATGCTGTTAAGTGGGATTAAAACAAATGACCAAGTGATGCATTTCATTTATTTTCAGCAAACTGCGCCACTTTGGTATAAAAAGGCATGGATATGTTCCTCAGAGTTCTGCAACCAGCAACATTCGGTAAAAGGCATGCGTAATTCACCATCCATCTCTTTTATTATAAAAGCATAACGTTCTCTTGGGCAGAACACTAATAACCAGGGCCTCATGCAACGCATTTGCTCATCTAATGACGCTCCCCTGGCTGTCGGGAAACCTGTCCACCGTCCAGCTCGCCTCCGACAACCAGAGACAGGCACCTCCAGCAACCAGAGACGGGCATCTCCAGCAGCCAGAGACGGGCACCTCCGGCAACCGGAGACGGGCACCTCCGGCAACCACAGACGGACACCTCCGGCAACCAGAGACGGGCACCTCCGGCAACCAGGGACGGGCCGCACGTGCGCGGGCGGGTCGTAACGTACCTGTGCCGCTTCTGAAGGCCAGCGGTGGGATCGGACCGACGCTGCCTGGGGTCGGGTCGAGCCGGCCGCGGGTCAGGCGTCACGCCGGCCAGCGGCGGCGCAGCACTGCCGTTGACACCCAGCACCCCAGTGACGCTCATCTCCTGCAACACTGGCCAGGCGTGCCACGGTCAGTGACTGGCTGCGTCCTGACGGGTTCTGGCCCGCACCGGCCCGGTAACCGACCATGGTCAGTGACTGGCTGCGCCCTGACGGGTTCTGGCCCGCACCGGCCCGGTAACCGACCATGGTCAGTGACTGGCTGCGTCCTGACGGGTTCTGGCCCGCACCGGCCCGGTAACCGACCATGGTCAGTGACTGGCTGCGCCCTGACGGGTTCTGGCCCGCACCGGCCCGGTAACCGACCATGGTCAGTGACTGGCTGCGTCCTGACGGGTTCTGGCCCGCACCGGCCCGGTAACCGACCATGGTCAGTGACTGGCTGCGTCCGGACGGGTTCTGGCCCGCACCGGCCCGGTAACCGACCATGGTCAGTGATTGGCTGCGTCCTGACGGGTTCTGGCCCGCACCGGCCCGGTAACCGACCATGGTCAGCGACTGGCTGCGTCCGGACGGGTTCTGGCCCGCACCGGCCCGGTAACCGACCATGGTCAGTAATTGGCTGCGTCCTGACGGGTTCTGGCCCGCACCGGCCCGGTAACCGACCATGCTCTGCACTGTTCGCTCGGAAGGAATAGTCAAGGAATGTGCGCTGATGAGCGGCGCAATGTTGCCAAAACAGCAGAAGTCGATGGATGGATACCTGATAGGGACGAGTTCAAAGTGACAGACACTTGTAGACTGAAGTCAAACACGCCTGCCATTTCGTTACATGGATGCGAGCCATGTCTACATCATTGTTCGGCCATCTAGACATGTGCCGCAAGTTGAATGCTTTTAGGGAATGGGTTCAACGATGTCAACTTTTTAAACAGCTTCATGCAAGACGTGAACAACCGAAACAGTGCAAACGAAAACACAAATAATGCGTATTTTCATGTGAGGAAGTCCGATGCAATAAACACTTCGCTTGATATGTTGTGCAATGGTAATCGCACGACGTCCGTCACTTTCAACACAATGCACTTTGCAAGCAAATCAAGCATGACACAACCAGATAATCGCGAAGCATGAATCAAATCCATCGAACATGCCGTTTCCTTCTTCTACCGGCTTCCGATAACAATATCAAACCTTCAAGGTAGATTCAGTCTATCGACCACGTTCGAAGGAGAGCCAGAAGCGGCGCGCAGATCAACACTCGTCTGAAGCGATTCTGAATGGTCATCGGTATAACAGATGCCATTTCATTTAGTCTTTTGTTGCAGTTCTCACGCATAATTTCCTGTTCATCACTTTCGAACACGATTCTCAAGACCTTCATCTTCTTCCCCGTTTCATTTTCGACCGCTCGCATGCTCTGGTTTGTTTCAAGCATCACGGTACACCCACATCACCTGTATTTCAAGCATCATGGTCCGCCCACATCATCCGTATTATTTTTACGTTCGGATAGAGGCCGAATAACCTTGGAAAGACCCATGCGTCACCAAGAAGTAGCCGGCAACTCTAAATTGATCCTTCTAACATGCAGAATGCCATCAGCGAATATTGAAACTTTACGCTTGATGTCTTTTAGCCGTATCGCTGATATGACAGGTTGCTGCCAGCCGTATCATCAGCGGCTCGGTGCAAGACAGGTGACAGCGCGTGCAATACTTTCACCCGCGTAGGCGGGTCCAAAACATGCAGTGCACCGCACCGCAGGCGGCTACGAGACATGCAGTGCACCGCACCGCACGCGGGCACCAGGCGTGCAGTGCACCGCACCGCACGCGGGCACCAGGCGTGCAGTGCACCGCACCGCACGCGGGCACCAGGCGTGCAGTGCACCGCGAAATTTCAGCGAGTTGCGAAAACCTCAAGCATGCTATCCTCGAGTTCGAAGAAACAAAGGCGGCTCATTGAGCTCCAATCCGGTTTTGCAGTTGTGCAAGCGCAGCTCCCAGGTTCGCACCGGTGCTCGTGATTTCCTACTTCAGCCATATTCCAGCAGCCTGCATACTGAGCATGTGCCGCTCGTTCAAGCTGGTGCCGTCGAGGCTGGTCTGGCGCGGCTGATGCGCTGTACAGCAGTCAAGCGGCGCTGCTAGAGGGCAGTGTGCTGCACACATCGCCTGCCTGGCAGCAGCGGCTGGCTCTGCCACCGTTCCGGGAAGCCCCAGTCGCCAAGCGGCACGGTGGCCATGATAAGCGTCCCGAGTGGCTGTTATAGAGCAGGTGCTCTCGTGAGCAGACCGAGGGCAGGCGGGCCATTAGTACGGGACTTTAAGGCCAGGCGTGCTGGTGGGCCCACAAGCGAATAAAGACAAGCGAGTATGCCTTATTCCGTGTGTTATGGGAGCAATACTGTTAAGGCCTTACTTCGCACCTTGGGGTGATGGAGATTGGGGCCTGAACACGTGACAGAGGGCGTGATCAGAGCGTGGCTTCTGTGGCCCCTTCAATCTGTTTTGGTGGTGCTTAGGTCCTTGAACAGTCCTTGAGCCGAGTCATATTGATCGGAAACGTTGGGGTATCTTAGCAGCGGACAGGCACATTTGTGTTCGTTGCTACGTACGTGCTTCAGCAGGCGAAAACAAGCCGCTCGTCAGCAGCGCCACCTCTGGACCAGCTTCGGAATCTCTGAAATCGCTTTGCGCCACCGCTGACCCTGAAAGGCAGTGACTCTGTAAACCTCAAATGATGGTGGTATTTACCTTTGGAACATAGGAGCACATGACATTTTATCTAAATTCAAACTGGTGCGCAAAACTACGCAAGGATTGACAAAACGATACGAGCTAAATCTGTACTTAGGTACTTGTAGGCCACGCTTCCATAAAATTAATACATCTATATGAGTTCTGTCGTATACCCTATTTCTATTTTCCAACATGACTGAAACTCCCAAAACGTAGCTGGCATTTGTGGCAGTTTCGGACTCCCGCTGGGCTTCTAAGCCATCCACGATGGAGCCTTGAGAAAATGGAATGGGATCTGGAGCCTCAAAAACACCCCCGCCCCATAAAACAGCCCCCTTGTAACAACGAATGCGATCTGGAGCCTCAAAAGGATCCCCCTAAAACAGCCACCTGTAACAACGAATGGGATCTGGAGTCTCAAAAGGATTCCCCTACAAACCAGACCCCTGAAACGACGAAGTGTACTACCAATCAGTCTACACGGCTAAGAGGAATCTGTGTGCCCAGATTTCATTACCTCATGGGTGAATCTTTACTACATCACCCATCATCGCCCATCTCAACAAGCGCTTTGGCCCCCTCCCTCCATGACGTGAGCGTACCCGAGCTCGCCAGGGATGAGTCCGTCGAGAGCGGCGACTGACTTCTTGTGATGAATGCCTTGCCCACGGCGCGCTGGACGGTGGAGGAGTGACCAGTGTCGTCCAGGGATCTGGGCGGATCGCCGCTGAGCTCGCCGCCGGATCTCGCTGGGCGGCTAGACTCGTCACTGTCTCTCGTTGTGCGGCTAGACTCGTCACTGTCTCTCGTTGTGCGGCTTGTCCGACCGCCGTTTCTCCCTGTAAGGCTGAGGTCTTCCTTGTTGCGCGTTTGCCAAGACAGATCGTCACTGTTCCTCGGCGCGCGGCTGATCACGTCATTTGTCCTCTCTGCGTGAGTGAACGCGCCACGGTTCCGTGCTGTACGACTTAACTCACCACCGTTCCTCCCTGCCCGGCTGACTTTGTCATTGCTACATGCTACCCGATCAAAATCGTCACTGGTTCTCAGCGAACGATTATACCCGTCACTGTTTCTTTCTGCATGATTGAACTCGCCACCAATCCTTTCTGTACGACATATCCCGCTATTGTTCCTTCCTGCCCGACTAACGCTGTCACTGTTACGAACTGCCCGATCAAAATCATCACGGTTGCCCAGCGAGCGATTATTCTCATCACTGTTTCCCTCTGCATCAGTGAACTCGCCACCGCTCTTTACTGTACGATGCATTCCGCCATCGTTCCTTCCTGCCCGAACGACGTTGTCGCTGTTACGAGCCACCCGATCAAAATCGTCACTGTTTGTCTGCGAACGATTATTCTCGTCACTGTAGCCTTCTGCATGAGTGAACACGTCACCAATCCTTGCTGTACGATATTTACCACCATCGTTCCCTTCTGAGCGACCGACTTTGTCACTGTTGCGCATCACCCGATCCAAGGCAACACCGTTCCTCAGTGTACGACTTAGCTTGTCATTGTCACATTCTGAGTGGCTGAAGGCTCCCTCACCCCGTGAGTTGCAGTTTGATTCTTCACCGCTCGTCCTTGCATGACTGCTTCTGTTTCGAAATGGAGGACTAGACCCATCACTGTTTCTTTCTGCGTGACTTAATTCGCTGCTGTTAGATGCTGTGCGGTTAGAATAGACACTACTCCTCGTAGCGCTACTGAGTTCGTCGCTGTTGCTTGGTGCAAGACTGAACTGCACGCTTTTTCTTTCTGCGCGAAAGGACACGTCACTTGTCTTTACCGCGCGCTTGAACTCACCCTTTCTGTCCACCGCGCGACTGATCCCGTCACAGCCCCTCGGGATGCGACTGATCGCGTCACAGCCCCCCGGGGCGCGACCAATCTCGTCACAGCCTCTCGGGGCGTGACTAAACTCGCCATAACCCCTAGGAACGCGACTGGCCTCGTCACAACCCCTCTGGACGCGGCTGATCTCGTCACCGCCCCTCGGAACTCGGCTGATCTCGTCACCGCCCCTCGGGGCGCGACTAATCTCGTCACCGCCCTTCAGGTCGTAACTGACGTCGTCACAGCCCCTTGGCACGTGAATGATCTCTCCGCCGTCCTTTAGCGCCCTTCTGCTGTCATGAGGTCGCGGCAGAGTGTCGCCCACCAGGCCGCCTCGCCCGTTCGGCGCCGGAAGGTTGTTGTTGACGGAACGACTCACTCTCGCTGGCGAGTGCGCCACGTTCGGCGCCGGCCTCGCCTGGTAAGCGAGCCGTCTCTGCGGCGACGGTGATGCATTGGCGACGCATGACGCGGCGGCGCCGGACGGCAGCGGGTTAAAGTTGGCGTCCTCCGCCTGCTCCATGGTGGCCGGACGGCGGCCTGCGCGGGGAGGGGGCGCGGGCGCGGGCTCCGACAGCGGCGGCAGGCCGCTCTGCTGCGCCCGGTCCGGCCCGCGCCGTGGGGAAGCTGGCGCAGGCCGGCCCGCGGAGGCTAGGGTCGGGATTTGGCGCCTCAGGACGGCCCCAGTTGGGGCGCGGGCCGGACCGGGACTCCCTTGCTCCAGCTCCGGCTGCGGACTCTTGGCCGAACTCCTGGCCGGACTCCTGGCCGGACTCCTCGTCACCGGGGCGATGGCCGGCAGGCTGCGGTCGGTGGCTCGCGGGCCGTTGGACCGAGCTGAACGCTTCGCCGAGAACGCGCCGCCGAGACAATCCAAACAGTTGGCTTGGTCTGGGAACTCTTGGCTGAGAGGGATCTGAGATGAAGCGGCTGGGTCACGCTCGTAGTCTCGTGGCAGCGGTACGATGCCTGCCATGAACGGGTGGAGGCGCAGCCTATCCGACCTTCCAGACCTCCAGCTGGGACCACTGTTTTCCGCCTGTCTCAGGCTGAATCTGAGCCAGGGCTTGGGCGACCATGAGCTGCTGCTGGGACTTGTATCAGCGTCCCTAAGCCGTTGTATCCTGCGGACAAGCATACACGCGTCGTAAGGTCTCGTGGCTGCATGGAAGCGAGCCCAGGTCACATCTGTGGCGCGATGGGCGTCGATCATCGGTCCTTTCGCGGCGCCGCCATTAAAATGCCCTCACAAGCGGGGAATAAGCTGTCCTAAGCAGGCCGTGTCGTGGGTTACCGGCAGGGCAGTAAAACATCTGTTGGGACTCGATGGTAACTGGCTCATTACTTCGACCAAAGCCATCAACGTCGTTAAGGCTACCTCGAGAGTGGAGCGGGGGCCTGTCCATCTTCGTCTTGCAGCGCACCCAGTTCCAACAAGCTCCTGACTTCAGGCATCAATAATTGAACGACACGTAAATGTTCAATAAAGAAAGTTAGTATCAACATGACCCAACGAGAATATGTACATTTTTTTAAAAACCCAAGCCATTTCGGTCACGCTCGGGTCTACCATACCTGCGGGGAGACGCCTCCTCAGATCACAGCCGTCAGAGGCTTTCATGGTCATCCGTTTCCAAATCTGGATCCAGATCAAGGCTTCCGTTTACGAGAGGGTTTGCGAACACGGGGAAGGCAGTACACAAAAACTCGCGGTGACTTTCACTACACTACGAACATTTTGTTCCCTAATCCGGAAATTGCGTGTTTTGGCCTATGGCAAACATCACCGCCAGCCGCGCATCACGGCGTCAGATCGCTGCGCTTGCGCACCGCCGACGCGCTCACGATCCATGAACCGGCACCGGGTGCTCTTCTGCAGAATCCAGCTGGACGTCTGGCGTTCCCTGCACCCAATCCACGCAGCGACACGGCACAGGCGCGCGACCGTCGGAGGCGGCAGGCTCACTGCGTCCTGCCGCCGGCCTGCGTCCGGGCGAGGCGGCCAGGGCTGCACGTCTGTCGCCGCCGGGGCTGCAGGCTGGGCTGGGCGTCGCACAGAGGCCACATTGATCGATCGGCGGCGGTGAGCCGCGGCCGCGACTCCCGCTCTCTCCACTCTGCCGCTGCTCTCAAGTCTGTCGCCATTCACGGTCACGGAGCCACGGTCAGCTGCTCCTCCCTGTCTCTCCGTCGACCATATCTCCCCACTCTACCTCTCTGTCAGTAACGCTTCCCCAATCAGCCGCTCTGTCTAACACAGCCAGCTGCATTGGAGGCTCTCACGAGTAAGGTTTCCTCCATCGAATCCACCCGCTACCCAGGCAACTGCGCCGCTAGCCGCGCGCTACCCATTCCTAATAATTTGTACCCGCCCGTTACAAAACCGCTTGTATTTTCCAGGCCTTCCATTCAATATTATAGAAAGTTTTGACGAAGTTCACAAATACGCGTGCTCTTCTGCGTTGGTAATTGCAAATGCAGTGTGAATGGGGCTGGTTAGGACTAATTAAGCACAAACAGCAACATTGTGTAGTCTTCCTCGAAGCGTCTGCCGACATTTCGTCTTACGTAACGTCTTACCCATTCCCGTACCCAATGGGCGCAAAATGACCCTAGAAGTCGGCGCGCCCTAAAACCCCAATCATCATCATCATTCTCGTACCCAAGAAAAGTGAAATGGCAAAGAACTCAATTGATAAAAAGATCAAACAGGATGTAAATCAAAGCAAGAAAGGGAAAAGCCAAAAGAATCAAAACTAGAAAACGTCAGATGACACAAAGTCAAAAGCGATAAAAATAAAAAAGGAAGAAGGCAAAAAGCCAAACGGGCAAAAAAACAAATAGGGGAAGTCAAATAACAAAAAGTCGAAAAGGACAAATGTCAAATAGAAAGGTGCAGAACAGACTATATATGCGTACATATATATATATATATATATATATATATATATATATATATATATATATATGTATATATATATATTGTCAACCAAATTGTTTTGTCAATCAAATATATATATATATATATATATATATATATATATTTATGTGTATACATATCTCACCCTTCCCGTTCGCGGGAAGAGCTAAGCAAGGGAAGGGGAGGGGATGAAAAGCCTGCCACGCTTATCCAGTTATAATAAGCCACTTATCGGCGCTTTGACTCCGCAAAAGGAGCATATGCCGGTTCCCAGCTTTGGATTGAAAAAGGATCCCCAGTGGACTGAAGTCCACTGACCAATCTATAGAAGAAATCCCACTCCTGGGTGCATGCCTTACCTCACGACGATTTTTCGCGATGTGACGTCTTGTAGCAACTGAATAGGACACTATACTCCTGGGTAAGCGACTAACCCAATATTATTTTTCACGACATGTTGCCTTTCAGCTTCCTTGCTTTAAATCTCCTTAACCATAGCAAACCATGGCCATAAAAGAGCATTTCTCTGACGAGCGGTGCCGCGGATTTTAAGACAGGGAAGACCTTTTAAGGTGGTTTCAGACGCTCTATACGAAATTTAGTCTCCTCGCAGAGAAACTCCTGGGCGAGACCAAGTAATTGGTCTCTTGAGCTTTGGCAGGAAGACGATAAGGGAGCGTCAATAATAGCATAACAACTTTATCACGATTCCCTTTCCAACTCCCAGAGTTGTACTATACCTGTCTAATTTGGAGAAAGTGCATGTCACGTTTCTTGACCATTTCGGGCTCTGGAAAGGCATAGGTAACCCCATTTGTTGGGTTACTAAGACCAATGAAAGGAAAAAGTAGATATAAGGCACCTACTTAAGTTTGTAAACGGACCTTGTTGCTTGCTAGCAGCCACTTTTATGACTGAACAGGTTTAAGTCGTAACAGTCAACAGTCGCTGTTAAAAGTGTTCAGCAGGTTCTGTCGAGTTTTCCGAAAAAGTGATGATGTTTTAAGAATTGTGTGGGCAGATATTGACATCGGATTAGCTAAGCGGTTTTGCATAGACTCTGTAAGGAGACACATTTTGCTAGGAAGCCTTAGTCAGACTTACGTTCATGCAGAAGCGGGTCAGAAACACGAATTTGGATCTGCTGACTCAATTATGGGGGTGAGTAACTGCTCCATTGCTTCCTCCCTGCCGCGCCCTCATTGACCTAACCTGAAACAAAAGGGTCCCTGCAGGCATGCGAGGAGCTATGCTGACATGTAATGGATCCCTGGATTTGAGCTGAGAGTTCCCCACGCAATGGGCGAGTCTTCAGTCTTTGCGAGTCTGCTTCAGGGCTCTCAGGCGCCTCTTTCATTTTGACTTGGATTTCTTAGGCTCGTCTTTTCCCTTTTCACGTACAAGTGTGGAAGGTTACCGTGGAAGTGGGAGAAAAGCACAACAAGTGGGAAGCCTTTTATTGACACAGTTTTTAGCCGTTAGCCGTTAGCCGTTAGCAGTTTTAGCCGTTAGCCGCTTTAGCTTTTACCCTGTCGCAAGCTACCTTTATTTTTATCTTTTGACGTTTAACATTTTGCTTTTGTCTTTTGAATTTTTAGCATTTGACTTTTTGCCAGTTGGCTTGCTGTCCTTTTGACTATTGCCGTTCGACTTTCATCCACTTGACTCTTACCCCTTTTGACTTCTTGGCTAGTAGACTTTTTGTCCTTTTGCCTTTTTTGGCTTTTTGGCGGTGACTTTTATCCTGTTAAGGTGTCTAACATTTGAATTTATCTCATCTGACTTTTGTCCCTTGACTTCTTGGCTTTTTACTTTTTTTGTCCAGTTACCATACACAACACGGGAGCAGGTAACCACCCAAGGTGGAGTCAAGATCATCAACGGCGATCTAGGATGTGACCTGCGCGCAACACAACATGCATGTGCCGGTCGCTTTGTGTGGCAGGGAGTTTGGAGACTAACATGTGTCTCTCGTGTGTGCGGTGGAGGTGCTCCAGTCGTTCGGAAGCTTCCGACGCATCGACTGCGTATTACTATGCCGCTCCCACACTAGATTTATAAGCGTCATAACCACAAATCGCACCGGTCCTAAAAAGGCCGCTCGTTGTCTGCGAAAGGTCGCTTGTTGTCGGTTACCTGTCTGTCTGGTCCCGTAATGCAAGTACTGATCACAACAAAACAAAACAAAACAA